AATAGTCAACCAGCCAAGATGGTGGTGTAGTGAAAATGTGTATAATGTGTCATTGTCTAAAGTACTATTTCTTATATACCAATTAAGGGTTGGAATTTTTCTATACTTTTGGATTATGTTCAAGTATGGTTCGTTTGTTAATTTAGTTGTGAAATTCAAAGATAAATTTCAATTTCTTCGGTTAGATAATATCTTATGTTTTTACATATGTTAAATTTGATTAAAATAAGATAATACTAATAAGTACACTTATTCAAAAAAAATGGCCCCGTAATAAGTATATTTAGCTCGGTTTAGTTTTGGTTTGGTACGGTTTATTTCGGTTAAATGCTCAATCCTATCGAGAAACAAAAATCTAACAACCTTGGTCGACGTTACCCTAACACCTCTCTTTCAATCTCCGATCAAATCCAAACGCATTCTTCCGATTTCGCCGGAGAAGATGCAGCAGAGAAAGCCGACGGCGGGTAGACCCAGTGGTACCGATGGATCCGATTTCTCGTACCGCATGGTCGTTGACTCTCGTAAGTTTCCAAAATCCCAAGTCTCCAGATCCTATTTTCTCTCGATTTCTTCTTGATCCATTCGTTTTCTTTTTGTTTAAGGTTACACGAAGGTCACTAAAGAAAAAGCTCGTCTCCGTCCTTTGATCTTTGTTCAGGTACTTTCGTTTTCCTTATGTTAGAAACCGAATCTCTTTGATTTTAGATTGATTAGTCTAGAATTCGATTTTGTGATGCATTGCAAAATGTTACATCCTTGAGCACTGAATTTATCATAGAAGTAGTTTATGTGATCAGGTTCTCACAATTGCAGTCTCACATTCGTTGCTTTGTTCTCATTGAGATTGTAGTGTTCTTGAAGTTGTGTAGCCTTAGTTTAAATAGTTCGATATTCTCTTTTTTAGCATAAATCTTTTAGGTTTTTGCTTGCAGGCTGCGATTTATTTAGTCGGATTATCGTGTGCGTTTCTGACAACGACTAAAAAGGATGAGAGGAACACCCTTGCAATTGCAGCAGCTGCTGCTGGCTTAGTGTCTTCATTCATAGGAGAATTAGGTTAACACTCTCTTCTTTGTTGTTTTGCCGGTTACGCATAACGGAAAGTTGTATCCTTTTGTTTTGGTTTCTTTATATATGTTTGTTGTCTCTGTTGGAAAAAGGTTGTAGACGCAGCAGAGTAAACCTTTTGAGGCTCTATACGGCTGCATCTACCATTGTTATGGTTCTTTCAGTGTTTTGTGCTGTTAGGAGCAGATTAACTATGGAGGTAAATCGACTAACTTAAACAAACTTTACTCTTATATTATTGATTTATATACACTGCCATTTTTTTGTCGGCATCATTAGTCTTTTGGCTGATAAGCTTCTATTAGTTAGAAATACATGTAAAGGATCAGGTAATGAGGATTATACTTTTCTAGTCATGAAAAAATGGTTGATTGTGGTTGTAATAGTATCACAGAATATGAAATTAAGCTTGACGTTGATACTATCACCTGACTCTCAATAAATGTTGTAGGAACGGAATAGCACTGGAACAACCGCGAAGCTTGAGCTCGCAGGTTTCATTTGTGCTCAATTAGGTAAAACTTCCTGAAGATTCTCTTCGTTTCTTTATTGTCTACAGTACACGTACTTGCAAGCTTGGGTTGCATATTCCGGGATTATGGATCATTCGGGTTTTTTGTTGAATGCAGGAGCGGTGGTGCAGATATTAGTGATCATCGTTACGGGGTCCCTTGTCAATAATATGTCTCCGCCTACAAAAGCAGCATAGAGGAACATAAAACTTGGGCACTGTCGTGTGTGCTTCTCTTACATGAAGAAGAAAACTTAGAATTTGTAAGTTTTGAACCGTTGTTTTCTCCACCAAATGATTAGTGTTATATTATATATACAACGTTGTTTACTTAAACTTTTCAATTAATCATTCAAAAACACATTTCTCATTGAGAGATGTACCAAATAAGTCCTTTAAATAGCACATCGGAATATAATTCTCTTAGAGAACATGCAGGTCTGAATGGTGACATAATGCGGTAAAAAAATTCTTAGCCGTAAAAAAGCGGTAAGAGATATTTTCATAGAGAGAAACGATAAGGAATATATGTAAGAGATGTATGTAAAGTTTACCGTCTTTTACTTTACCGATTTTGTGATTCGTACTGACAAACGCAGCCGTTACCGTTGTGGGTTGCAAATCTTATCCCTTTGATAGTTTCTTAATCAAAATGTTCTTTTAATTAAAAATGGGTTTACATTGATTATCCAATAGTTACGTTCTCATGCGTAACGATTCAATTCATATAGAAAATAAAATAATTCATCGGCCGGTAACTACATGAAGCAATATAAAATTAGGCAAATATTAGAGGACGATAAATGTTATAATTAAAGAGTGTTGTATGAGACTCACAGTCATGTTGTTTTCCAGCCAAGAACACCAAGTGGCCCATGTTGATGCTCCCTTGCCAATTATCTCCTCATATATTCCATTCTATTGATGTACGTTTTTTTTCAATTTATTCCAAAATTAGGAAAATCGTTTTCTATGATAATCAGGGTTCCTACGTGGAAGCCGTACTTATCACATGATCTTTGGTTACTAAGTGAATATTATTGCGACGGTCTATTATTGTATCATGATCCACAGTCAGCTAGAAAGCTGAAATCTCCTTGTTACAACTATTGGATTGAACTCAAGTTCGTATCTTTGTAATAGCATTATTGAAATGTCAACTAAAAATTAGCGATAATAATGTTACGCATCCTTAGTAGTTAATACGTTACAAAAGGTGATAGGTGAGTCTCAATAAAAGAAGTAATTAGATAGTACTTTGTAAGTAAGTAGTAAATAAATTGCATTCGCAATAACATAGAACATTCGAAAACACTCTAGGCATGTTCAATGGATCCGCGTCACCCGCGCAAATAGTTTGGAGTTTGTACTTGAACCTTGTTTCTTGAAGTTGGGATCACATAGAAAAACTTCCAAACCGTATTTGAACATAACTAAGAGAAGATTCTCATCATATTCATACCACTTTTTGTCTTAGTTAAGTTTCATAAAATTTCAGCTCAAAACTGTTGACTATAAGTAGATTGGTCCATGTCTTTTATATTATTTGAAATTTCATCTTATTTCATACATTAAATTTCAAACAAAATAGATTAAGGTGTATATATAATATAGTTTATATTGATTATTTGTTTGCATATTCAAGTTTACTAGATTTTGTCAGATGAGAAAGATCGATATTGAAATTCAGAGTTCCAGTTAAATTTATCATCAAAGACTCGTTATATTAAAATATGGCTTATTATGCCTTCAAATTAAAAACAAATGATTTGTAAAATGCCAACCTATAGGAAAATTATGTATAGGTTATAGGTAATACATGACAGACCAATTTGCAAATAATTAATTCGTTGAAAAATTACAAGATCGATTATGAATGAGTTATTCCTCCAAAAGAGGAGATCTAATCCATGTTCAACAATCACGTGTCACGTACCTTACATTACCTTAGGCTTGAATAGCGGAATGTTCTAGTTTTATTTGAAGACTATTTAAGACTTCCTATACTTATCTATATGTATATTTTCTCTTTTCACACTATACATTATTTCGGAAATTTTGTTTTTTTTACTCCTCCGTTTCATAATATGAGGTGTTTTAGATAAAGTTTTTTGTTTTAAAATATAAGTCATTTCGGAAATTTTGTTTTTTTTACTCCTCCGTTTCATAATATGAGGTGTTTTAGATAAAGTTTTTTGTTTTATGATTCACTGAAATTTTAGAAAGTATATATTCTTAATCTGCGTGCTTTTACCTAAAAGCATGAATATTGGTAGTATCTTAGAAATAAATCTTAGGAATATTTAAGTAATATATTTGTAAAAGTGATAGGTAAGAGATAGTATTTTTGGGTTAAGATTTTTGTGTAATTAATGGTAGGTTCTTAAACATGTGGTTCTTAGAAAAAAATATTAATATAAAAATAAACTTTATAATTATAGAAAATTTAATAATTGTTGCAAATTAAAAAAATTAAAACATACATGAGATACAATTTATAACATATATAATATAAAGCACAAAAAAAAATTCTTCTTTTGTTTGATTTTTTAACCAATCACAATGTGACACCTTGCAACATCTTAAGTTAAGAAAAACATCTTAACTTAGATACAAATCTTAACTTTAAGATGTTGGTTTGATTATTTTTAATCAACTTTAATCCTAAGATTTGTCTAAAATACTCAACATTTCAACCAATATTCATGCTCTAACAACTTATATTATAAAACGGATGGAGCATCAGTGTGTTTTCACACACCCTAGGAGTGTTATTGTCGAACAAATACCAATGATGATAGTTGCTAAAGAAAGATACCATGCATTTAAACTTTAAAGCCTGATTGTTTTTTGTTTTTGTTTTTAACATGTGGAATAATTAGGATATTGGAATAGAGTCCGACTGAAAATTTTTTACAGTCATATAATTTAGGGTCTAAATTTTACCTTTTTTACAGATGCATAAGATCTACAAATGTATTGTTTCCGATGGTTATGAGTTAAAATCTAACTGAGTTAGTTTATAGCAAAATGAAAATGGTGAAAATTATATTGGCATATAGTATCTATCATAACTTATTTCACAATTAGATGTAAATGAGAGGAGTTAATGAGATCGTTAGTCCCTTGCAAACTCAAAATGGCGAAGTCAAATTTATCAATGAATGCGGATCTAATAATAATCCGCCCTTAATTATATTAGTGGCCTTGTTGAGTGCACACTAATTAACCATATATAGTAGTAAATTAGGAAAAAACATAATCACAACGGAATCATTCATATTGGGAATATCTAATTCGAACAGTTGAGAGTTGACCATGATATATTATACAACTTCTTGACCATTTTTGAAAAAGCAAGTTACGTACACATACACATATATAATACGATTTTGTTGTTATGTAAAGAAACTTGATACATCTAGATCGATATAATATTTAACCATATTCTTACGTTAAAAAAAAGGAAAGAGATCTATCTGTATCAGTTCCTTCATTCAATTTAAAAACAAAATATTGTTACATGTGTGTTGTATATATATAATGCATACAAGTTACAACATAGTTTCACAATTCGTCCCTTAATTGGAAGCTGCCACAATCAACATGTCGCAAGTCCTCTACTCTCTAACGCTCGTCTTTGTTTTCTTCGCATCGACAAACATCCAGATATCATCAGCCAGTCCATCATCCTACTCCCAAAACCACAAAACGTTCGTGAAAACGGCTTGCAATTCGACAACATACCCCGACAAATGCTACAAGTCCTTATCCTCTTACTCATCGAATATCAAATCCGACCCCATCAAGCTATGCACCACCGCGCTTAACCTCAACGTGAAATCCGCAAAGGAAGCAACTTCCGTCGTTTCTAAGCTTTTCAAAAAGTCTCAAAAGTCCACCGCCGGACGAAAGGATAAAATGTCACCGGAGACTCTTATTCTCAAGGACTGCCTCGAGGAGATGAAGGACGCAATTATTGAGCTCAAGCAAGCGGTCACGGAGATGAAGACTCTACAAGATGGTGGTTCGATGGCTGAGCATATTACGAACGTTAGGACTTGGGTGAGCTCGGCGTTGACCGACGAAGGGACTTGTACGGACGGGTTCGAGGAGGTGAAAGTGAATAAAGAAACGAAGAAGAAGGTAAATAAGGTTGTTGAGGAACTTGCAACCACGACTAGTAATACTTTGGCGCTTATTACGAATCTACGTTACTAGCTAACGAATAAAAAAAAGGTTGTGAAAATTATAATTATTATTGATGATTTATTACTATTCCTTGCATGTGCATGTTTCTTCTTTTGTTTTCTTCACGTCAAAATAGATGCGATAAATTTCTTGTATCTACTATATAATATCGTATCATGTTAGAATTAATTTAAGTTAAGCCAACTTGTATGACATATAAATCATATACTTATATGTTTATTAAATACTTTGTCAAAGAAATTATATTCAAAAACGAATAGTTACAAAAACAAAATTAGTAAAGGAAAACATACAACCATGTGAATTTCTCCTGTTACTAGAATAGTCTATTGTGGTTAAGTCGATTCAACTGCGCAGGCTCTCGTTTTGCTTGTTGTGTACATGATAAGGGCATTGCGTAGATGAACAAATGTAGTTTCCAAAACAAATCATATTATAGAAGAGAGAACACAACTTATATTGAATTGGAACATGTCACTGTTTTATACTACATTGCTAGGTTTCTCTATATTGATGGCCATCGATCCCGCAGCTTCATAAAACAGAATCTCTGGTCGAACCTTTCTTTCTCCACAGAACCTGACCACACTCTTCCAGTTACCAATATCCTATGACATCACAACACATACATCAACAATGTCTGGCCTATATCTAAATTCATAATTCAAATCAAGGAAGGCGAAATCATCTTGTTTTAGCTTACCTCTCCTACTAAAGACTCACGTCTGAGATTAACCCATCTGTTCTTTTCATAAGCTATGCAAATGTGTTCTTCTTCTACTTCACTGCAACCAACCTGCATCACATCCCAGATATTCTGAGACTGTAACCGAGAAATACAGAAGAACGATAGGACAAACATTTGTGAGACCCTGTTTCAGATATATTACCACTGACACAAGTCGGTAGTTAGTGTTAGGCTCTAAGCCGTCGTACATTCTGCTGATATCTATCTCCCATTCCAAAGCCTTTGTTGTTTCAGATACTTCTTTTTCAGTTTCATTTTTCTCCCATTCTAACACTAATATTGCAAACCACAAACCACCAACATTGTTTTATCATCAGCAAAGTAAATGAAATGAGTATATAAGATCCCAATCATGGTTGTCAAACCTTACCGATTGTGAATATAGGCGGGCATCGACTTATAATATGATGAACAATATTTTTCATTCCACAGCCTCCTGATTTAATGTCACATAACATTTTACATTCCATGCGGGTCACCTTTAGGATATCCACAAACTTTATATTTCCGAAAGTACACTGCATATATATATAAGCACAGAACAACTTTATAATGGGAAGTACTAGTTTCTGTAGGAAAGATAAGGAGGAAAATAAATGAAACGTACCTTCAGGTCTCTGATTGAATGTGCAGCTACAACAATGCCTTGAGAACGTTGCTCTGGATAATTTGGCTTACTTCTGCATTTTATACAACTCATTCTTTCATTTTCCTCCAAGGTGAAAAGGCGAGTTACCAAACTTTCTCTTTCTCGATATTTCCAGCAATGCCAAAACTCAAAAATGGCTACAACTACCTCAGCAGCATCAGCATCACTCAACTGAAAAGAGTATAAGATAGAGTATCATTAAGATAACAATTATTGACAAAAAGAAAAAGAAAGACATCATGCATAGAAGGTTACCTTCTCCACATAAACCATGGAAAACATTTCTTCTACGGAAACAAGTAAGTCGCTCAAGAGACAACTATAGACTCCCTCATTTTTAATGACCTCTGACACAAAAGCAGTAAATAAATTTTGTAGCGCAGAAGGAACTTGTTCTTCCAAGTGGTTTTGAAATAGTTGCATATTGTGCATCAAATCTTCTTTGAGAATCTTAATGTTCAGGAGGGCCTGCAATACCATATATTTTTGTGAACTTATCAACGAGAATAAGAAAGTAAAGAGATACAGAATGAGCTGAATCAGAAGATGAGAATTTAAATACTGAATAATATTTTTGTCGGTAACTGCTTCACCTTCAACGTCATGTCAAGAGCTGAATTGTATCTGGCTGCAACTTCTCCAGGTGCTGACTCCAAATGTTCTGACAGTAAATCTTCTCCAGGTATGTTTCGCATATCTTGAAGATGGCGAATGAAAGAATAAGAATTATGCATCCCAAAACAAAATAATTCAAATTATTGGTCAATTTAGAAGCTTTAAACAACCAGGATCATCTTTAGTAGCTTCATCTTGAATTCCACTGTTGGATGAAATTTCTAATCGACCCCTCTCGCTTGAAAGAGCACCTTCTAGTTCCATCGAATCTTCTTTCACAATTTTTAGTGATGGAGATGAAGCTCTCGGTTCAAGATTGACAGAAGGTTCACTGGACATATAAGAACACATTTTGATCAGAGAAAACACAAAAAACATCTATCAACATGAGTAAAAGACTGTTGAGGTACTTACTGGTCAACAGTCTTATCAAGGGGACTAGACATGCTCGTTGAATTTCTCTGTTGCGCCACGAAGAAATTCATTCTTACAGCCGATTGATGAAAATTCAGAGAAGCAAATAGAGAACTTAGAACTTGAAAGACCTTATTGCTTTTATATTTCTTCTTTTTTGACCGTGACGTCTTCTCCTCCTCGAGTAAAAGATAAGCTTCTGCTGCATCTGACTTGGCTTTGGATTCCATATTCACAATTTCACTCTACATTAGAAGATACATAATAACATATAAGAAACAATTCAAAGGCCAAATTTGGAAAACAAGAGCACTCTGTATACAACAGAAGTTTCAGACCAACCAGCAAGAACGGTTTCAGCAGTCGAAGGATATAAGTGCGGTTGTCAAAAGCAGAAAGCCTGGTGAGGTTGTTTAGCAAAGTAATCCTTGAATTGTCAATCAGCAAAATCTTTGAATCGAGTAGTAGAACCTGCAAGTCAATAAGATACTTTTAGATGGGCTATTCTATGTTATTATGCTGTTAATGAATATTAACATCATGAACCAACCTTGTGGGTGACCACTGATTTCAGATGGTGTATGGACTTCAACGCTATATCATCACTGAGACTTTTACACTATCATATAAGATTCATGCAATCTTCCAAATTGGGGAAATCAAATGTCGGATGCGATGCTCCTTCGAGAACATCTCGTACTGCCCACAAGAAAAAATTGGTAGTGAGTGAATTTTCGGAGACTCTCTCTTCACAGCTATCACATAGAAGAGATGCATATCTATTCCACTGATCTTCCTGAAGATTCTTTCTCCTTCATCTTCACTCATACACAAGTTCTCAACGACAGTAAGAGCTGCATCATAATCTAAGACCAGAAATTTCTTTGCATATTTGGTTCCCAAAGACCTAAATGTGAACTGAACAGCTTTCAGAACAGCCACCCAGATACCAAAATTGTGTTCCCTGATAGGTCTGGCAAAGATCTTATCTACTGAATTGTAGTCAGTTAACCAGGATATGATATCATCTCCCTGAGCTGGTGCCTTGGCGTAGTGAACATTGGGATCAAAAACATTGATTATCCCTTCATCATCGAATGGAACATCTTTGCATTTTAGAAGTCTTCTATCCAGAAGCAGAAATGAAAACTGAGGGTCAAAGTCGATCTTTTCTTTGACTCGAGTATGATCCAAAAAACTGTCCACTGCTCTGCAAATTAGATCTGTACCATCAATCCTTTTACAATTGATGGTTTTTAGAAAGTCTAGGATTTGATTGAGTTCATGACTTTCCAGAAAACAGATACTCTGAGGTGTTTCCACTAGGTGAGAATCGATAAGACTCTGTCCGGAAACTTCAAGTTTTCCAAGATATTGAACCGGAAAACGCATCAGCCACTCTCGAATACTAGAAGGGAGAATTTTATGGTCACAATATGACACAAGGAGCAATTTGATTTCCTTGAGTAACATACTGCGATCTTCATCCGCAGCTAAAGGCCATTCTTTGGACCATCCATTCTTAGGTGCAAACGATTTCACATCTGCGAGCCGATTCTTGATCATTTCAACGGCAGCTACTGCATCCACTGGTTCCCAAGCTCCAACTGATATCTTACGAGCCCAGTCCTTTCCTATCCTCTGGACCAAATCCTTTTTCGAAGCATTTTTAAAATCTGCAGCATGTTGTTGTTCAAGATGATTCTTACATTCTTCGGCACTAGAAAACTTCTTCAAACATTTAGTCTCACACATCCAGAATGTCCATTTTCTATCTTCCCTGGCAGAAGTGAGAACTTTCTCCAAAACATCTCGTCCCTCTCTGTAATATACTCCCTCAACAAAACTTTTAAGCTTTGCAATGCTTACTTTCATAAAGTCCCTTTTGATCTTAATATCCAATCCCATCCAATACTTCCTCAATTCCTGAATCTCGTTCTTAACCAGGTCTAAACTTTTTTTGGCTCCCAAACTTTAGGCTCCGAGCTTAAAGGAGAAGTCTTGGCTCCAGCGATCTTGCGCTCTGCATCTCTGATTAAAGTCTTGAATTCTTTCTCCAAATCTTTTTTCAGCTCTTGCAACATCGATCGAGCAACAGGACTCGTGTTTTCTGGGTAAGTAACTGCTAATGCTTGTTTTGATTTCTCCACGCATTTCTTGTAATACGATACTGACCCAAGCTGTTTGGCCAAATTGTAGAATCCCATTGCACAAGGTCGTGATAACATCACATCTTGAGAAAAGCATTCTACAGAAGCCAACAAGTACGCGAAACCCACGTCCGGGTTCTCTGTGTTGCCCTCTAGTTTCAAGAACATTTGACCTTCTAGGATATGAAGAAACCATGAGTCCTTGTCTTCCTTGTGGACAAAAATCAAATCTTCAGTTATCTCCAAGGCCTTGATGTAATTTTCTTTAGCGCATGCTTCTCTAGATTTTATGATGAGCTTTATGAACTCAACATCTTCCAGGAAAGAAGAACTCATAGCAACGATTCTCAAGTTTCTTGCGCTTTCTTGTTCTCCAAGGTTTCTTTTGCTTCAGAGAGAAATTTGTCAAGAGTATAGGAAATAACAGCAACTGGCTTTTATCACGTGAGAGCCACGTGAAAAGGTTATAAAAGGAAAAAAAAAAAACAATTTTGAGCACTGGGGAATTCTGTCGAACACCTTGTATGCATTCTCCGTTTGAGATTTTCACGGAATAGCAAACCAAAACAAAACCCAAAAATTGTGTGAATCTTCGAGTTTGGTTTAAGACCCAAATATAGAATGTTCTTCATGTTGGTGTTACACAAAAATTCGTGGAAATGTTTGGACTTGAAAATCAACAATTTCAATCTTCTTCGTCAAATATATGTGTTTTGACTTTTGCTGCAAAAAAACGACGCATCAATTCACACATTAGTCGTTCCACTGTTTTTCAGTTCGCGTCTCAAACGTCTTGCCGTTTTCTATGTTTCAAAACGGCAGCACATCGCTCTGTCCCCTACTAAGCCCTGAGCGTTTTAAGTTAAACTCAGAGGTGAGAGGTCCTCCTCCGTCACAAGCCGCAAGAAGAAGCAGAGCAATGTGGAAGCTGACGCGGCGATTGCAGCCGCGTATCAATTCGACCCGATGGTTAATCCGAAATTTCCGGCGTGGAGAAGCTGGAGACGCCACCGGTCTCTACGGTTTTGATAATCTCAAAACGGCTAAAGGGTTTCAGAGATTCGTTGCCGATGCCATTGAAAGGTATGATTTTTATCGTATCAGTCTATGTGTGCTTAGTCATTTTCATGAACCATGATGTGTCTGCTTCAATGGAAAGCTCTATTGGGGGGTCTAAGGTTACTGTGCTGTGTTGTGATGAAATTTGGTTAATTGAAGAAATGATTTTGTAACCATTTTCTTAGGTCTAGTGAGTTGGTGAGCTACATATCAGGAATGCCTTCGTCTCCAGAGATTATTAAAGCCATGGATGAGATTTCCGACACTGTAAGTTCTTGCTGCAGTTGTGTTACTATTAGTGTTCTTGTTTTACTATTCCTGTCCTCTGAATCCGAATTTTCCGAATTTTTGTAGGTTTGTTGTGTTGTTGACTCTGCAGAACTCTGTAGACAAACTCATCCTGACAGGTCTCTTTTCTTTTTCTAGTTCTGAGCTTCAATACTTGGTTGATTATGTTCTGTTGATATTTTTGTTTTAACTTGTTTACTTTGATCTATAAATATGATAGGGAATTTGTTGAGGAGGCGAATAAAGCAGCAATTAAAATGAATGATTATCTACATGTGAGGTGACCAACAATATGCTCAGCTTTGATTTTTCTTTCTTCGGTTTACGTGTTTGAATCTTGGAATGCTACAATGAAGACATATATGGGAATTCCTTCATCTTTGAACATTTTTATTGTTTAGAAAATGAATATGCAGCTGTCCGAAAAGATCTGCAAATTCAACTTATTTTTTCGTTCATCCGTAGAAAACTTGAGGCATCTTATCATATTGAAGATATAACCTCTCTAGACTCTCGTCATGTCAGTAGAGTAGACACAGTTGATTCTATGTTTATTCTTGGCAATTTCTTAACTTTTCCTGGGTTGTGTATGTTCAGCATCTTAACACGAACCATACTTTGTATGCTGCGGTGAAAAAAGCAGAGCAAGATTCTAACTTGCTTACCAAAGAAGCAAGTAGGACCGCACATCACCTCCGAATGGACTTTGAACGGGGTGGCATTCATTTAGACCCTGGTTTGTTATTTACCATTGTTATTTTTTTACCCTTTTGATGAGGCTGGTGTATCTGAAGTTGAATGCTTTTTTTATTAGTTCCTTTTATTCTTTGCAGAGAAGCTAGATAAAGCGAATAACTTAACAACCAACATATTTCAGTTATGCAGGGAGTGAGTACCCATGAATACACAAGATTTGATTCTACTGAAAATCTGATATTATAATGGTGCTTTGTGTTGTTAGTGCTAACTTCCGTATGATATATATTCACTATTCAGGTTCAGTGAAAATATAGCTGATGATCCCGGACATGTTGATATATTTCCAGCATCACGCATCCCTCGACATCTGCATCATCTCCTCAACCCTACCTACCGATCCACTTCAGGGGGCTCAAGAGGGTCTACGAGATCAGCACATAAGTCGAAACAGAAGGGATTTCGAATAAATACTGATCCACGAACCCTTTCTTCCATTTTGCAGTGGACATCAGACGAAGAGGTGCCTACTTTACCTATTTTTCTATCCTTTTGGCTTTTTCTGACACCCGAACCTCAAGGATAGAGGTGGGAGAATATACAGTTTTTCGTTGGTAACTTACTAGCGTTTTATAATCAAGTACCCTAGCGTGATATTGTTTCAAAGATAGGGAAATGTGCTTTGAAGTTGCATTGATTGTACACCTACATCCATATTATGCTGACCATTGTAATTTAATAACTCTATTTTCAGGTTAGAAAAATGGTATATATCCAAGGGAACTCTGTTCCTCATGCGAATCACAGAGTTCTTGAGAAGCTTATTACTGCACGCCATGAGCTTTCCCAGGTTTGTACATATTCATTTATGATACTCTATAGTCTATAGTATATTCCCTGTCTTAAAAGATTGCTCTTACTTATTGTAATAGCTTTTTTTTGTTGCTCTCAGATGATGGGGTGTAATTCTTACGCTGACTTTATGGTCGAGCCAAACCTAGCAAAATCCCCAAAGGTTGTGACATCCTTCCTACAAGAACTGAGCAAGACAGTCAAACCAAAGGCGGATGAAGTAAGCTGACCTTCACACTATTTTTACAAAAGCTGAACTTTCTATGATGTTCTTTTGTGGCTGAGTTTGAAAATTAAGGCTCTAATAACCAGTTTCCATCTCCGTAGGAATTCATAGCCATTAGAGACTTTAAAAGAGAGAAATGTGGTAATCCATCTGCAGAATTAGAGCCATGGGATGAAACTTACTACACTTCAATGATGAAATCCTCTGTCAATGATGTGGACACCGCGGTAAGTTGCTTTTGCTATTTACTTCTCTCTAATGTCCTGCAGTGGTATTACTTTCGTTATGCTACAAAAGCAATTGGGTTTCTCTATCTTCATTTTGTATACTTTTGGGAGCTTTTCGGTTCTTTTTTCTTCTTCGAGAGGGACTGTTGCTAAGACTTCTCTTGTCATGTTCTTTTGAAATATTCTTGTACAGGTTGTAGCATCATATTTTCCTCTGCCACAGTGTATTGAAGGCCTAAAAGTGCTTGTTGAATCATTATTTGGTGCAACATTTCATACTGTTCCTCTCGCACCAGGTGAATCTTGGCACCCAGATGTGCTTAAAATGTCTCTTCATCACCCGGACGAGGTATGTTGTTCGCAAAACCAAGATAATCCTTGCATAAGTCTTGTAAATGTAAACACAGTAATAGTTCACTCCAATTTTTCTCATCCCACACCATCTTTGTTCCCTCATGTTCACAAATCATGCAACTGTTTCTTGCAGGGTGATCTCGGATATCTTTACCTTGACTTGTACTCAAGAAAAGACAAGTACCCTGGATGTGCCAGCTTTGCAATCAGAGGAGGACGCAAGATTTCTGAGACAGAATACCAACTTCCTGTATGATTGATCAAATTTCAATTTTTTCCCGTATGGCTAAAATATGAAGACCAACTCCTGGAAAGAGTAATACCACATTTTTACACTTAGCCTGTTGATCTCAACCTATTGCAGGTTTTGGCTCTCGTTTGCAATTTCTCGCGAGCTTGTGATTCATCAGTCGTGAAGCTTAATCACTCTGAAGTTGAAGTTTTGTTCCACGAATTCGGACATGCTCTTCACTCTCTGCTCTCACGAACGGTATTGTACAAATTTATCAATACATGAAGCTAGTTACGGTCCCTCCTCAAATTTCGCTATTGCTTTGCTGATTTCTATGTTTTCTGGATTTTGCAGGATTACCAACATTTTTCTGGTACCAGGGTGGCTCTTGACTTAGCAGAAATGCCTTCAAATCTATTTGAGTGAGTATAATTCCCAACGATGTAACACTTGTTTCAGTACTCTTTCAATTTTGCGTTGCAAAACCTTGTAGTGGTACATAATGAATGTGGTCATACGTCCCTCAGGTACTATGCATGGGACTATCGCCTCCTGAAGAGATTTGCCCGTCATCACTCAACCGGTGAGACAATACCCGAGAAGTTGGTTAACTCTTTACAAGGTGCGAGGAACATGTTTGCAGCAACTGAAATGCAACGCCAGGTCTGATTAATTGATTCACCTCTCAAATATGAGTATGCAGAAAAATCAAATTTGGATTAGAGAGATCAACGTCAGTTTCCGTATGGTTTTTGGTAGGTGTTTTATGCGCTGATTGATCAAATGCTGTTCGGGGAACAACCGGAAACAGCAAGAGACGTGAGTCACCTCGTGGCTGAACTGAAACGGCAACACACTAGCTGGAACCATGTCGAAGGAACACATTGGCATATTCGATTCAGTCACCTACTTAACTATGGAGCAGGTATATATATATAGCTATCTACATATAAATGCATACAAGCATTTTTCCGCAGATGTATCTTGAACTCTGATGTGTATGTGCAGGGTACTATAGCTACTTATACGCCAAATGCTTTGCATCGACGATATGGCAATCGATATGCGAAGAGGATCCTCTTTCGTTGAACACAGGAACATTGCTGAGAGAGAAGTTCTTCAAACATGGAGGAGCCAAAGATCCAGCTGAGCTACTTACCGATCTAGCAGGCAAAGAGATCATTAGTGTTCATGGTGAAGGCATAATCCCTGCAACCACATACCTTTTAAATGAGCTTAGACTATAATAAGAACAATACTCGTAGCTTAACTTGGTTGTAGCATAACAAAAAGAATGATTCTTTTTCAAACCAATCCAAAACGACGTAGTTTTCTCTTTATACGGCAAACGGATCGTAGTTTTTACGAAACGGCAAGCAGTTTGAGTTTGAGCAATGCGATGTCGTTTTGGCCAAATATAACAATGCACGACTGGATAATCATTTTTATCGCAAAAAGAAAATCAACTGAAAAAATGGCGCTACAAATCCACTCTTCGTGTTTCTTCTCGACGAGACCCTATCACCATCTTCATCTTCTCTTCATCACTACCAGAAACCCTAGATTCGCAATCAAATGTCAAAATTCCCAAATTGAATCCGAGACAACAGAGGATCCAGCTCAACCCAAGAATTCAAGCGCTTCCGGCGTAGGATTCGGTTCTTCGGCTTCTTCTTCTCCGGCTAAGAAATTGAGTGCAGCTACATCGGGAATTAAGAAAGGGAAAGGGAAGAGAGAGTTGAAGCGGCGTGCTCCGGTGGAGAAACCGGTGTTTATGAGCGAGGAAGGAGCGGCTAAGGCAGAGGAACAGAGACGAAACGAGAACGCGTTTCTTCTTACTTGGCTTGGGCTTGGTATCGTCATCCTCATCGAAGGGATTATTCTCGCTGCTTCAGGTAACTATGAAATCTGGGCGTTTGCATAAAACTTGGTTTTGGTTTATTGCTAGAAAAATCTTTAGCTGAGGATAATGAAGATAGATAATGAATGATCAAGACTCAAGAGGATACTTGTCATTGCCTCTTCTCGGAAGAAAGAGTGAAGTTTTGGTCACAAATTGATAAGCTTCTCTAGATAGTCGATTGTCTCGAAAACTTGAGTGTATACTCACATTTGTGCTTAGACTATGTATTTGATAGTGTAGATTGTCCCTTCTCCTGTTGTTATTGTAGTTGTTGCTTATATGCCAATCTTAGGCCTGATTATTCTCTTGTAATTTTGCTCTATGTTCCATCAAAGCTGAAAACAAACTTCGTCTTTGTTGCTTTTGGGGTATAGACTAGAATTTTGCATTGGTAATGGACAGATTAAACCACTCTTTTCCTTGATACATATGATAGTTTAGAATAGAGTGCACAAGACATTTCCAATTGAATAGATGTGTTGAGGGGATACACAATTATTGAAATCTCCTTGTGTTTGCGTTGGCTTCGTGCAGGATTCCTCCCCGAAGAGTTGGATAAGTTTTTTGTCAAGTATGTGTATCCAGTGTTCACTCCATCGGTTGGGTTATTTCTGGCTGGGACAACTGCATATGGAGTTCTAAAGTACATACAGAATGAGAAAATGAAGGGTCAAGAGTGATACTATACAACCATGGATATTAGAGCTTGCCCTTGATTGAGAGCGATTGGTTTCAGAGGGTTTAGCGTTAAGTGTGTTGCAAGTAGAGTGGATACTCTTAAATCTGGTTTCACTTTGGTTATGCAATCCAAAAAGACGAGTTTGTGTATTGATCTGACCTTAGTCATTGTATATGCAGAGAGCTGGGTATCAGGTTATGTACAATTAAAATCAGTTTGAAGTTATTCATGTGCCATTATCATTTTATCCTAAACAAACATCAAGAGTCAAGCCATGTATGTAAATGTCTTGTTGCCATGAACACGAGAAAAAGTTCATGGGCCGACCTGGCCTAGTCATGTTAGGGATGTGCCCGTTGTTTTTGGGTAAAAAAATTAATAAACTACAAGGAGATTTTAATTACTATGTATTGAAACATCTTTATTTGTAATAAAATTCGGATTACCCGGCTCGATTCGGTTGCGCAATATTCAGATTTTTTTTTTTTTTTTTTCAATATTCAGATTTGGTTCGTTTCATTATGGTCCGTCGCCATAAAATTTAGTCACCGCTCGACAGTTTGGTTCCGGTTTGAAGAATTTTGAGGTTTTTTACCAAACCCACATTTACATTCATAAACACCAAGGCTATATCAAACATGGCTACAAGAGTGTGTGTTAATTGTTATACGAGTGAACCGGACTAAAGAATACATGACCAAATGAACAAGTCCAAGTCTTTTTCTTCTCAAAAAGTAGATACTTTTTAGGGAAATAACTAATGTATAAACACAAGACAATAATGAGTCACCGAAATTTGGAGGTGAAAGTCAAGTATTGGGGCCCTTGTAGGAGGCGCCGCTAAGTCCCTCGCTCCCACTAACAAGACACCGTGCTATTGATTTGCTCATTTGTTATCATTGTTTTGATGTTGATTATCATGATGTTGATTCTCTTCTCATCTTTTTTTTTTTTTTGAATAACCGCGGATCTCCCAAAGGCTTCTTAGGCCCAAGGACTAATCCTACGAGACTGGCAATTCCCCTATGTAAACCTGCCAATGGCCGTGCCTCGAACCCTGGTGGCGGAAATCACAGTTGTGACCCCTTTACCACTAGGACACAATGCCCAGTTCTCTTCTCATCTTTTTCTATAAAGTTTCTTTTGTTTTGTTTATATTAACTACACGTAGCTTCTTTTCAAAGTCTCTTCTAAGTTTGCGGACTTTTAGTTGTAGCCTTCTTCTCTCTAGCTTAAATTGACATCCAGCTACACTACACTACACTCCCTTTGACCCTTTGTATTAGGGCTTGATTTTTTCTTCTAATTAACGTTTGAAATTCTTTTTGATTTAGAATACTTTTTGATATGGAGTAGATTCAAATTCAATGTAACGAACGTAGCGTCGTTGTTCAAATATTAGTATAGATATTATAAGATTCGTATATATCAGAGATCAATCAAATATGTTAAGATTAGATTCTCTACCTCTTGTATAAATATGAGACCATATGTGAATAAGAAAGTATCGGTTCATAATCTTTCTATATGGTATCAGAGCACTTCTGATCAAAACCCTAAATTTTTTCTCTTCTTCTTCTCTTCCGCCGCCGATCTCTTGTCTCTCTCTCTCTTTGTCTCTAATGGCAATTGAACCTTCAACTCCTTCTTCTTCAACAGAATTGGCTCCAATCTTTAACGCATCTGAACCACAAAAGACTTTGATCTCTCTCAATATGTCTAACATCACCAAGCTAACGCAAAACAACTACATCACATGGCGTCTTCAAATTCGTTCTCTTCTTGAAGCCCATGAACTCCACGTCTTCATCGGCGAGGACGATCTGACACCACCACCAACAATCACCATCGACAACACTGCAAATCAAACAAATCCAAAGTTCACAGCTTGGATCCGTCAAGATAAGCTCCTCTTCAGCGCCATACTCGGGTCACTTTCTCTCCCTGTTCAAGCTCTTGTTGCTAGAGCCACCACCACCCGTGGTATGTGGGAAACTCTCCATCGTACGTACGGCAATGCTTCTCGGGGTCACATAAAAATCATCAAAGATCAAATCAAAGCCAGCACCAAAGGAAGCAAATCCATCATCGAATACATGAGAGGCATCCTTGAAAAATCTGACCAACTAGCATTGCTTGGAGCTCCTCTTCCACATGAAGACCTCCTTGAACACATCACTGATGGCCTTGGAGATGACTACAAAGCAGTCACAGAGATGGTGAACGGACGAGACACACCAATCTCAATTGAAGAACTTCATGAGAAGCTCATCAACCGTGAAAACAAGCTAAGGGCTGCGACTACAACGGATGTCTCTCTTCCGGTCACTGCCAATGTGACTCAATTTCCACAACAATCATCCTCTAACTCGCAGCGTGGTGGCAATAGCTCGTATCGTGGTGGCAACAATTCCTCCCGAGGAGGCTATCGTCCGTCAAAGCCATACCTTGGTAAGTGTCAAATTTGCGGCGTTCAGGGACATGGAGCTAAACGGTGTCCTCAATACCAACAGCTTGCGGCACCAACATCTCCGTATTCACCTCAATTTCAGCCTCAATACAGAGCTCCATCTCCATGGTCTGCTCCGCACTTACCGTTGCCGTCACCACATTGGCGTCCACAAGCTCATCACGCAACAACAAGCAGTCCCTACACAGACGTGAATCCATGGCTCCTTGACAGCGGATCCTCGCACCACATCGCAAGTGATCTCCATAATCTCTCTCTTCACTCTCCTTACAACGGCGGTGAACAAGTTGTGATCGGGAATGGTGCTGGCCTTCCAATCACTCATACCGGTTCAATATTTTTATCCTCAAACTCTCGCCCTCTTCATCTTAAGAATACTTTATGTGTTCCTACTATGAAAAAAAATTTGATCTCGGTTAACAAGTTGTGCAAAACAAATAATGTCATGGTTCAACTTTGTCCTTATGATTTTCAGGTGAAGGATCTTCACACGGGGACGACACTACTCAACGGCAAGGCCAATGAGGGTGTATATGAGTGGCCGATTACATCCTCTCCAAACACAAACTCCTCCATTTCTGCTTTCTCGTGTCTCAAGTCGTCTCCTTCGGATTGGCACTCTCGTCTTGGTCATCCGAATTCTCAAACTCTTCGTCATATGATTTCTAGTTTTTCTTTACCTATCACTTCATCTATGTCTTCTCACTTATTTTGAAACTCTTGTTCTAGAAATAAAAGTCATAAACTACCTTTTTTAACATCCACCTTACGTTCTCATTTTCCTTTAGAAATTATTTTTTCTGACGTTTGGACATCTACGTCGTCTTCGTTGATCATTTCACAAAATATACATGGCTTTATCCTCTCAAAACAAAGTCTCAAGTAGCCCAAATTTTTCCTGTTTTCAAATCTCTCGTGGAAAATCGTTTCTCAACAAAGATTAAAATTTTGTATTCTGACAATGGCGGAGAATTTATTGCTCTTTAACAGTTTCTCTCTACCAATGGGATCTCTCACTTCACGTCGCCTCCCCACACTCCGGAGCATAATGGTATGGCTGAGCGCAAGCACCGACACATTGTGGAAACAGGGCTCTCGCTTCTTACGCACGCCAACATACCCAACACGTATTGGACGTATTCCTTTGTTGCGGCTGTCTATCTCATCAATCGCATGACTACACCCAACTTAGAAAATCGCTCACCATACTGGGCATTATTTCAAACGGAGCCAAACTACACAAAACTTCGGAGCTTCGGGTGTCTATGTTATCCATGGCTCAGACCATACGGCAACAACAAATTCAGTCCCAAGTCCACACCATGTGTCTTTGTCGGCTATTCTCTCACACAAAGTGCCTACTTGTGCCTTGAAGTCTCCACGTCTAGAGTCTATGTCTCCCGTCACGTCCAATTTGTTGAAACGGTTTTCCCTTTTCCTTCTCTTTTTCGGGCCATTTCTACTCCTCTTTTATCACTTCCGTCGGATACTTTTTCAGCCTCTCTTGTTTCCTCTATCAATCGGTCGCTCACTCCGGCTCCTATCCCGTGTACGGATCCTTCTCCTGCAGCTCATGGGTCACCTGAACCAACGACACTTGATCAAGAGAGTGATGATTCAAATTCTCCGACTGACAACTCGGCTACTACTGTGACACAGCCGGTCATAGTACAACCTCCTCTTGTCGCTGATCCGCCACCTAATACTCATCCCATGATGACGAGAGCCAAGAACAATATCCGCAAGCCAAATCCTAAGTATGGTCTCACGGCTATACTTCAAGAAGTTGAACCCGAAAGTCATGTTCAGGCTCTTAAAGATGAAAAATGGAGACGTGCAATAAGTGATGAGGCTGATGCGTTTGTCCGGAATGACACTTATGATCTTGTAGATCGTTCACTTGCTAAGAATATTGTTGGCTCTAAATGGGTGTTTCGCATTAAACGTTTACCTAATGGTGCTGTTGACAGGTATAAAGCAAGACTAGTAGCCAAAGGCTTTCATCAACGGCCGAGAATTGATTTTCATGACACATTCAGCCCGGTAGTGAAGCATGCCACAATCCGACTAGTTCTTGGTACTGCAGTAGCTCGGGGATGGCCTCTACAACAGCTCGATGTTAATAATGCTTTTCTCCAAGGGCCCTTAGATGAAGAAGTATACATGTTGCAGCCACCGGGACTTGTTGACAAGGATAAACCAAATCATGTATGTCGTCTCAAGAAGGCGATCTATGGGCTGAAACAAGCACCTCGTGCGTGGTACACCGCGCTCAAAGTATTCTTGGAGAGCATTGGATTTAAAAACTCACTTGCAGATGCGTCTCTTTTCATTCTCCGCACGGGATCTGCCTTCATCTACATGCTTGTTTATGTCGATGACATCATCATCACGGGCACTTCTCTCTCCGCAATAACTCGGGTCACGGATCTGTTAGCCTCCAAATTCTCCCTAAAAGATCTTGGAGAGCTGTCTTACTTCCTCGGCATGGAAGCTACTAGAACAGCCGCTGGACTTCACCTTACCCAGACCAAATACATCACTGATCTCCTCCGCAAAACGAAGATGGCTGACGCGAAACCGGTGTCTACACCTATGGCGTCTTCACCGCCCATTTCTCTACACTCCGGTGACATACTTCCGGATGGCACGGAGTATCGTGCAATAGTTGGTAGTCTCCAATATCTTTGCTTGACTCGACCAGACATTGTATTTGCCGTTAACCGTCTCTCTCAATTCATGCATCAACCACGAACTGTTCACTGGGAAGCGGTCAAACGGATCCTCCGCTACCTTATTGGAACAGCGGACAAAGGTTTGTTTTTTTCAGCCTCGACACCTCTCACACTTCACGCATACTCCGATGCAGATTGGGGTGGCAATTGTGATGATTACTTGTCAACTGGTGCCTACATTGTCTATCTTGGAAAGCAACCAGTCTCATGGGCGGCTAAGAAACAAACCGGTGTGGCTCGGTCTTCGACTGAAGCAGAATATCGAGCCCTAACAGAAGCAGCCTCGGAAATCAAATGGGTTCTATCTCTCATGTCCGAACTCGGCATTCCCGTCTCCTCCACTCCGGTGCTCTACTGTGATAACATTGGTGCGACCTATCTCTCTGAAAATCCAGTTTTTCACTCTCGTATGAAACACTTAGCGCTTGACTACCACTTTGTTCGTGAACAAGTTCAGGCCAAGACTCTCCGTGTTTCTCACATCAGCTCAGAAGACCAGCTCGCGGATGCCTTAACCAAACCATTACCTCGTACTCGGTTTACAGGGTTAATTGACAAGATTGGACTCCGCAAGCGTCGTTCATCTTGAGGGGGCATATTAGTATAGATATTATAAGATTCGTATATATCAGAGATCAATCAAATATGTTAAGATTAGATTCTCTACCTCTTGTATAAATATGAGACCATATGTGAATAAGAATGTATCGGTTCATAATCTTTCTATAGCGTCGTTGTTCAAACACCACCAATGTATCTATTAAATATTGACTACATTACACGCGTATGCATTCGTGATTTCATGTACTCAAAAACACATATTACTACAACAACACACGTATCAAACAAATAAATTGAAGTATGTGCTTCAACAATGATCAGAACTAGAACTTGGGTGCTACTCTGATATTCACAAAACTATGATGATCGTATCTATAGGAAGGATCCATGCTAAAGCAATGGCTGTGATATATACTAGATATAACAACACTTTTAACCAAAAATTTTCTAATGATTAAAAAAAACACTAATAGGATTATCACTAATAGGATTCTAAAGATATAACAATTATCACTAGTAGAATTCTTTTTTCATCAAAAAAAAAAAAACACTAATAGGATTCTTATGATGAACAAACTGTTTGACGATTTTCTTTTACATTTTGTATTTCTCTTTTTTTTTCTTTTACCTTTTCTTACTCTTATCTCAATTTAAATTCATACATTACATTTTAATTTTTTTTTTTCTTTGAGTTTTAGACTGAGAATGGTAATTGTTTCAGACAACTTGTCTGACTCTGGTAAAAGTTTATTTCTTTGAGTTTTTTTTTTTTTTTTTGAATAACCGCGGGTCTCCCAAAGACTTCCTAGGCCCAAGGACTAATCCCACGAAGCTGACAATTCCCCTATGTAAACCTGCCAATGGCCGTGCCTCGAACCCTGGTGGCGGAAGTCACAGCTGTGACCCCTTTACCACTAGGCCACAAGGCCCGGTTTATTTCTTTGAGTTTTAGCTAGACTGAAAATAGTAGTATTTGTTTCAGACAACTTGTCTGACTCTGGTAAAAGTTTATTCATTGGTAAGAGTTTATGTAGTGCTTCTATTATGTAGATTGTAAAGAAATTTTCTTTGTACCATTTAAATGTTTAAAGAAAATGACCCCTCTATACCATGATTACCTCAGTAAAAAAAAAAAGTAAACAAGATTGCCTTAAATCAGGGTAAATAAGTTATGATTGATTGTCAAAGGCAAACAAAACAAATCCAAAGAAAAACATTAAAAGGACAATTATGTTAGGTTTGGATCTTTCACCTACCCTCCTCACTCCTCAAAAAATATCTCCTTACACTTCATGATTTATCCTGTTGTCTTCTGAATTTGTTTTCCTACTTGATATCTAGAGAAAATATCTCCCACCAAATTCGTACTAAGACCATCTCCAATGTCCACCTCTATATTTTACGAACTCTATTTTATAGGGGATTTTGCTCCAATGTATCACTCTAAAATAGAGTTTCCTCTAAAATAGAGGAGAGATCCAATGAATTACTCTATTGTCTCTCTCCTCTAATTTAGAGAAAACTCTATTTTAGAGGAATACATTGGAGCAAAATTTCATCTAAAATAAAATTTCAATAAAATAGAAGAAAATATAGAGATGATCAGCATTGGAGATGCTCTAAGGGTGAAACTGAACCTCGACACTCAAGATATTAAATTATCCACTTAATTACATATAACTATAAATTCAATAACTATATGATTTATCATTCTTTCTATACTCTATAACTCTAAATATCATATTTTTGTGACACATAAACAGTTTAATATAATCTTGACTTAAAACTCATTACATACATGATATAACTTGTAATATAGTTTAGGTTTAGAATATAACTTGTGGAGGTTAATTAATAAATAATTTAACTGTCTGTTTTCATTTAGGATATAACTGCTTAATTATAAATTTTACTATTAACCTTTTAGGAAACATTTTATTTTTATCCACAGAAAATTATCAATTTATTAAAATTATCATACTATGAAATAAAATTGAACTCCACAATAGTTTTTCTCTGCAACTTGTATGAGTCTTTTTGCAGGATGATCTGCCATAAACCGCAAAAATAATTAAGGCTTAGCGGGACAAACTAACTGTCTTTATCAAAAACATATTGAAATCCTTTTTCAAATTCAATAATTGACATAAAATCAATGTTTATTGCAATCATTAGGCCAACTCCAATGGGACTCTAAATCACTATTTTAGTGTAATTTTTGCACTAAAAGCTTTTCAATGGAACTTTAAAATTCACATTATTTTAGTGTGATGCTACAGTATCACACCAAATTTGGTGTGCTACTATTCACAACTCTAAACACTATTCAATTATTTTATCAATAAAATAATTAAATTAGGAAATATAAAATTACAAAGTGAATAGATTTAAATTGAAAAATGAATAGATATACTAATATATTATATGTATTGAAATAGTTTATTTAATTATGATATTTTTATATTATTATGTATGAAAATAGTAATATTATTCTGTATTTTTAGATATATATTTTAATGTAAGTATGTTTATTATGTGATGTAATTATATAATAATAAGTACTAATAAAAACTATTAAATAATAAAAGAAGTCTTTTAATTTAATAAGATAATATTAGATTATATTCTTTTAGCGTGATATTTGGTGTTGTGGTTGGAGAGGAAAAACATTTTAGTGCTAAAACTACATTAAAATGGTGTAATTTTAACACCAAAATGGTGTTTAGCCTTGGAGATGCCCTTAGGCAAAAGCTGAATTTCGAAATGATTAACGAAAATCAGTTAAGTTAAATAAAATCAATTTTATGAAAATAACTCGTGCAAAATCCAATCTAATTAAATTAATACGATCAGCAATATTTGAAAACAAAGATATATTTTGCATTAAGATTGGCCTTGTTCCAACAAGAAGAAGAAAGGTAAGCAACATAAGTGACTTTTTCACATAATCAAGAACCTTAACTATCATTAACTAATTTTAATTATGCATCGACACAAACCCCATTCTTGATCATAATTCCACATTGTCGAGCTCAAATTCCAAAATACAAAATTACCCTTCCCAAAATACAAAATTAAACACAATAAACCAAACCATTTCACTACTAATCAAGCGCATTGGGTCCGGTACAGTAACTAACCACGTGGCTCCATAACCACTGGATCAAATACCGCCGTCGGATCCCATTAACATTATACGTGGCACCACTATGATCGTTCAACATCTGTCCTGTGTACGAACCACCACCTCCAGTTCCATAAATACCCTCACAAAGATCCGCTATTTCAACCGGAGCCACCGGGTCGGGTCCTGCGTACCAAGCATTAACCAACGGATTCGTCGCCAGCTCAGCAATCTCATGAGCTATCACACTTATCATTCCATCTACTCCAACATCACCGTTCGGGGATTTAACCGGTTTTAACCCCGGTATATACTCGGGTACGGCGAACGGATAAGCACAAACTCCGGGACAAAGCTTCGCCGAGTTTCCGACCCAAGCGTACGGTAACGTGAACCCAACAATCGACGGAAACGTGAAATAGTGAAATCCACAAACCTGGCCGCAAAAATCTTGTACGTAGACATCATCGGCGGTGAGGAGAAGATATAAACCGCTTTTGGGATTAACCGGCAACGGACGAGATCTTGAACCGACGGCGGATTTTATCACGGATTGAATCGATAACCGGGTAAGTGATTTACCATGAGAATAAAACCGGTCGTTTTTCTCTGCACCGAGACGAACCGTACCGGTAATGTTAGATCCGGTTTGGTCAGTGTATAGTTGTACGGTTTTCCACCAACCGGAAACGGAAGGACGTTTAGATCCAACGGCTGAGATTGAGTTAATGAACTCACGGATGATTTTTTTCTGGGATTTTTGCCACGTGCCGTACCAGATTGGGTGAACGGTGATGTTGTTGGTTAAGACTGGACCCATGTGGTAGCGGAGGCGGACGAGATTCGATGAGCCTTCGAATTTTTTTGAAGCGTCGAAGATTTGATCGGAGCCGTTGGTTTTTGGTGGATATGGACGGTATCCGATGACTAGCTCCGGTGATGTTAGGAACACCGTAAGTACGGTGAGGACGGGAATCACCGGAAGTGAATGCATGTTTTTTCTTTATTGGGTGGAAAAAGTAAATAATAATTGGAATGAGAGAAGAGAGGAAAAAAATTTGAATTAGTGGACCGACTTGTCTGAAGAGTCATGGAGTGTCAAGTAGGTGTATATATAGAATTATTTAATTCGTACTACGTACATTTGTTTTAAATATAATTTGTTTTGGTTCATTCATCCCAAAATAGAGCTTTTTTAAATTAAGCAATTTTCATTTCAGAATAGTTAATTCTAGAGGTAGTAAAAACTAAAAAGAAATCAAAACAAATGACATACAAAACAAATTAAAAAGTATGATTGGTGATCCTCAAACCGTAAAAAAAAAAAAAAAAAAAACTGTAGTAAGCGATACCAAAAAACTAAAGAATGAATTTCTTCTGTTTAATAAAAATTGTCGTTCTAAAATATATATATATATTTTTAAAATATTATTTTATAATTTTAATTATTTAAATTTAAAACCTTAATTTATCTTTAAGTCATGACTCAAAGTTACTTTTTACGTTCTTCGAAAAAGCACAATCGTTGCTTCGATATACGAGTTTTCTCTCTCTCTTGAAAGCGATTTCTGAGATCTCGATCAAGTTTTTCCGGTGAAGCTGGTTTAATCGAAGGTGGTCCAGGAGTGGGTCGTCTTGTCTCTCCGACAACAGTGGTGTGGTGTCTCATGCTGATGTGGATGTGGCTATAGAAGGGTGGAGGAGGAGTGTTGATGCAGTTGCCTCTCGGTTAAGGACGCTGGGAGTTGTGTCGGTGTTCCTCAGGCTCAACCGCCGGTCCATAGGCTGCGTCCACGGTGGAAGTTGGTGGGGGTAAGGTGGATTTGTGTTATGTTGACAGGTGGCTAGCGGAGGGTCTTTGATCCTTGATGGCTGATGCGAGGGTCGGATTTAAAGGTACTGGGTGAGCCACCATCCTTTAGATCCGCCGGACCAGGTGTACCGACTGTCCGAATCGAGACTTGACGACCTAGGGATTCCGGATTTTCACGGAGATGGAAGAGCGAGGATAGCCCCAAGCGCGACGGGTTGCTAGGTCGGGATTCGTAGCCGTCGAACCGTCTCGTCGGAGACACTAACTTTCTAGGAGGTTTGTGGCGGGTTGGTTCATCGGAGGAAAAGGAGGGCTGTCGGAAACCGAAATCTTCCACCGACAATCTTGTTCCTCTGATGAGGCCACGAAGTTGTGAGCCTTGATTTCGCTAGATCTAAGGTTTGGTGTCTCTGCGAACGGTGATCAACAGGGGCCGAGTCGTTCTGGTTTTTCCGGCGAGTTTCCGGCGGTTTCATATTTTGTAACTGGGCTTTTCTTCGTTGTAAGGCCTTGGCCATTGCCCATTTGGGAAGAGTTTTAATAAAGTTATTATTATAAAAAAAAAAAAGTTACTTTTTACCGAATTTAAATCATTAAACATTTACTTATTCCGTTTATGTTTTGGAGAAACTTGACAATATAAGATGTTTTCAAATTTCTATACAAATTATAGAATAATTTAATATTTTTTCATTATGTATATTATGCAAAAAAAAAAAAAAAAATAGAATTTTTTCATCTGCGTGCTTTTAACTAAAATATCTTATATTTTAAAATAAAATAAATATTAAATTTAAGAATTTATATATAATTTATTTTTATTATTCCGTGTGAAATATATCAAACCTATATTTTTTGGTGAGCGGAGAGAATAATAAATAACGATAAAATTGGTATAAAAATATAAAAATGTTAATTTTAATAATGTTTTTATGATGATTCAGAATTATTAAATCAATAAATTTTTTAATATAAGTGGTCTATAAAGTTATCAATCAAAGCTACTATAAACTATTGTAATGACTAATGAATTCGTAAAATACTCAATAAGTTGTTAATGGTAATTGATCAAAACTTATTGATAATGAAACTAAAAGTGCAAATAGAGAAAAAAAAAAGTTTAGAATTTTAAGGAGTAAGTGCATAGAGAATTGGATTTTTTGGGGAGTAATGGAGGACAGATGGGTGATGTTAAAAGTGAGGTGGACAAGTTGGACCCACAACAAGAACACAAGCGGCGTCGTTAATGGCCGTCCGATTGTTTTCAATCTGACGTCATCAAACCCTCGTTTTTATTTTGGTTCCCCATTGCGCGGGAAATCTTATTCGTTGTTGGAAGGGTAAATATGACATTTCACTCTGGTACTTTTTCCTGGGTTTGGGACCTCACTTTCCAGAATTATTTCGTTTTAAAAAAAACAATTAATTTGGGACCACCACGAGTTTTGAAAACACTCTTGTAAATCTTCTTTTATTATTATTGCAGAAAAAAAAAATGTGTATTTGGTTTTTTGTCGTTTTTGGGCCACTTGAGAGAATAGTAATGAATAAGAAAATAGTCGTGAACTAGCAGAGATACTAACCAGTAATCACTAAATTGGCGGTTTGTTTTTATACCCAAAAGATGTTTTATGTTTTTCGAGATTATTATTTTTTCCTTTTTAATATGGTCTCTTTAACAGGTTTATAAAAAATCTATAGCTGTTTTTGTCGATATAGATTGTGAATTACCAAATACCATCTTATCTTTGCTAGACCTTAACTAATATACATTTTTCCGATCCGTTATAAAATATACGAAGTTTTGTGCATATTCTAACTTTAAAACGTATATTGTTCCTCTTTCTACAGGGATTCAATCCATATGCTCTTGTGATCCATTGATCCCCCCGTCCCACCGTCAGCTTGACTCCTCTCTTCTATCGGAATAATATTTTCGCCGCTATTTGACTCTGTTGTAGTCGGAGACCTTCTTTAGGTCATAGGCGGAGCTTCCAATTAGGAGATCGGGTTAAGATGTGAAGATTTCTTGAAGTCTTCTTAGGGGTTTTTCTCAGACGGAACCGGTGGTCCTCAATCTGATCTGCAAAAGCGAAATCTGTAGAAGGAAGGCGGTGGTGGATGATTGAAGCCGGCGGCGGAGTTTGCACCGGATCGTGGATCTCGGGCGGCACCGTTCGTGTATCTCTCTCCTTCTCGCGTCTCAACACGGCGTCTCAACACGTGTTGTACACGCGGCACCCTTTTTTTTAATCTCATCAATTTAGGTTTGATTAAGCAGAGTTAATGCTAATTAGGGTTGTAAACGTAGGAGTTTGGGCTTCTTCTGTACACCGCTTGTTTAGCCCATTAGGCTCTTATCAATACAGCAGTTGGCCGACAAAAAAAAAAAAAAAAAAAAAAACGTACATTAAAGTAGAGCTAGTATATGTGTGTCAGTGTGTATCGAGTATCGTAAATACATTCTTTATAAATTAGAGTGTCTAGATTTGAAATTCTCAACGAAAAAAAAACAAAAAATCATTTAAAAGAAGATGTTTAACCAGTTTGTGTAGAAGTAGACTTATTATGAATTATAACTCGGTAGGCGTTACATATGAAATTAGGTAATATCCATATATTTTTAAGAGATTTATCGGTGTAATACTTAAAAATATGTTTTGCTACCTAGTTTCCAACACTTGGAGATTCTTCACAAGACTTATAATCAATCATGTTAAAGATTATTATGGCCATGTTCGAAAATTAATCTGTCGCATGTTTTTGAAGAAGCCGATGACACATTAAATTAGGTTTGAAGATGTGGCAATATCCGTTTTTCTTAAAAAAAAAACTTTGGTATGAGAGCAATGTTATTTATGTCTATTGAGTGATCTTACTCTCTCTGTTCTTAGATATTTGATGTTTTGAATTTTTTTCTTGTTTCACAAAAATTGATGTTTTGTAATAGCATTATTACTATTTTTATTTGTGACCAATAGAAAAAGAAGAGAAGTGAAATTAATATTATTAAATTAATAATAAAATAATTAAAAAAAATAAAAATGACTTTTTCGTAATTAGTATCTAAAACTCAAAATATCACTCTTTTAAAAAGAGAGAGTAAAAGATTCCGGCAATTTGTTTATCATGTCAACACCAACGATAGTTTTTTATATCAATGTCGTGGTATGAAATTAAATTGGTGGTATGAGAATCTTATAATTTTACGTGAATGCACATGTCCACAAATTAAACTACAAGTTCGGAATCTGATTATTTTATCAATCTCAATATATAGTACACTATGGTACGTAGGAGAAAATTTAGGATCAAGTGCTAAACCTAACCACGATTTCAACCTCACCTATTCCAATCATTTTGTTAAAAAAATCCGATCTTTTTTGTATAAAGGATGTTGAAATTTCTAAGATTACTATTAAAAGAGAAAAGAGGTGAATAAAATAGGGACACATGAGCACGGATGGTATATACGAGGTGTTGGTGTGTATCCCATAAAAAAAAACTATTTGCCGTAATTCGCATTTGAAGGTTCCGATGAGAATATTTAGAATTTCGTTTCATATTTTACTCTTCATCATCAAAACCCTCACCAAAACTTTAACATTGATACCAAAAAAAGAAAGAAAAAAAAAACCTCAACAAAAAAAAAAAGAGTTATTTACCCGTAGACACACTTTCTCAAGTTATCTATCATTCTAGCACACTTTTTCTTTCTCACAAGTTTTATATGTGTGTAAAGACGTAAATACCCTGAAAAGAAACTCTAGTGTTTTTTTTTTTTTTTTTATATAAAGTTTTCACCTTAGCCGCAGTCTCTCTTAGTAAAAACATTGGGATAACCTCTTCCAATACATCTATTTGCCACCGACCATAATCCTCGAGCGAGGCGGCGACGGAGAATCTATTAAATCGTCGTGGTGGTTACTTGCCATTGATGAAGCATATTGAGGAAGGTCAAGGTCGTTGGTTGGGCTATGCCGACGGCGGCGATGAGTTGTGGTATTGGCAAAATTTGGTGGCGCCGTCTTCGTAATCGTCGGTTTGTTGAAACGACGGAGGAAGAATCTTCCGTTGGTTTCATCTCTCTCGAGTCAAGCTTATTCCTTGTATTATCAAAATCAGCTTGTAATCGAATTTTCATTTCTTTCTATGAATCTATCTATCTTGAAAAATTGTTGGCCATAAAGAGCAGTGTGCTACTTTCAATTTGCTTCTTCACTATTAGTCTACAAATCATAAAGACAACAGATTCCAAATTTCATATCAAAGAATATCTAAAATGGAGAAGAGGAACTGAGCTTATAAATTATAATGATGGTAGTGAACGAATGGTTAGCTAAAGATGGATGCTACGTAGTAACACAGTGACTGAGGAAAAAGACGATGAACTTCTTTATCCTCTCCGTCGCCGTTTTCGTTGCTCTCGGTTTATCCTCTCGTCCGCAATCTGTTGATTCCTTTGTTACCTTCTCACAGACTCAAGTAGTTGTGTGTGTTGTTTTATGGTCTTTGTGGCTTAGGATAAACTCTTTTGTGGCCATAGCACCACATCCACATGTTCACATGATCGCGGCCATAGCACCACGTCTCCTAAAATGGTCATAGCACCACATCCACATGTTCACACATCCATCTATACCATTTTATTTTACACATAATCATCCACTCGTGTATCCATAAATAACTAGGTTTGTAGCTCCATTCATACCAATTTATTCACACGTAAACATCCATTATACACTGAACATTTCTTCACTGCTAAATGGATGCACAAAGAGCATCGAAGATACAACTTAAGAATGACAATTTTTTTTTAAAGCCATTAGAGTGAGTCATACGAATCAATCACCAGAAAGAATGTGAGACCATGCACAAGTGATCATTCCCAAATACCTGTCTCCAATGTACATTTCTTACACTAGCTCAAAATCATCACCAACGTCTTTCATTTTCAGATTTCTTCTCATGTTTCAATTCTTTACCATAGTGATTTGATGCATCTATTTGGTTCTTTCCATTCTACTCCGTGAAACACTTCCATGACTCTTTTCATCCATCCATTATATACTTCACATTCATTTGTCATATGTTCTTATCTAAATAGTTCAAACTTGAGAAATTAAAGTTCACATCATCAGCAACTTCTCACTCATCATCATCATAATCATCATCTCTGTAGAATTAGTAAACACATGTTAGTGAAAAAATTCTAATTGTTCACCAAACAAAGTTGGAGATTGACATGGCGTTGTGATTAGGCGAATCAATGATTCCAAAAGGACAACACTTTATGGACAAGATTTTTTGTTCATCGTATATCAAAATGCATATCTTCCATTGTTATATTGCCACCTTCTTCTCTTCTCTGGTTCTTCTATGGTTTGTCACTCTCACTCCTAAATAACCAAATTGCAAACCACAAACTCAAAATTGCAACAAGAGAATTAAAAAATAAAAATGGGACTGTCAAAAAGTAGGGATTTTGAAGAAAAGTTTCAAAAATTCTGTATTTGAGATAGTTGAAAAAAATCTAAACTGAACTAGAAGCAAAGTTGATAAACTAATTGAAAAAACTTATTTTCGAAGTCACAAATCTAAATTCCCAGAACGCAATCTCTTTCTCCAACATCTCTCTACTTCTTGTTTCAACAACGATGGATTCCAGAAGATACAATTTTTATGGAAGGAGAGATGATAATCAAAGTAATTCAGAAAGCACGGAGGAACATATAGTCGATGATGCCGCCGCCGCTGATCTCACTGATGATGCAAAGCCACATGAAAAGGAAACATAGTATCTAAGAGCTAGCCTTAATGGGAAATTACGATAATTTTTTGGTGACAACTTACACCTTCCTCTTGACTATAGGGATTTTTAACTGGCCGAATACTACTGAACAAGCTAAGATGGTTTAAAGTAACATGATAAAGGGTAATATGTCAATTAAATGAACACATTTATAAATGGGATAGTTGTAGAATGTACTATAGTTGGTAGATTCTATAAAAGATGAATCAATAAAATTCAGTCGAGTTTCAAAATAAAGTCATTGAAGAGTTGATTTAAGGAGAGAGTTTGAACACACACTAAGTTTTGAAGTTCTACAACAACCACTTGGGGATAGAAAGAAAGACACAAGTCATAGAACCCTAAAGATTACATCCTCTAGTAAACCCTAACTTTTAGTGAAATATCTCTGTTTAGGATAACAACTACGATCTGGAAAAAAACATTACACTCTAAAAAAATCTGAAGACACCGAAATAAAAATGTCGCAACAACTCAAGATTATGACTGATCAATGTCGGATTCTTTCCATCGATCATCAGCTTGGAACCTCGGTGTCAGATTCGCTATGGCCTCCAAATTCTTCATCATCTTCACCTTCTAAATCCTCTTCATCTTCTTCCTCATCTTCTTCTGGGAGGGGTGAGAAGAGATCCTTGATATGGTTAGCTGTGTTATTTGCATAGTAACCATGGACTGTGTTAGTACTTGGCTCATGCGAAAAGGACACAGGTGGTGCGGACACAGGTGGTGGCTGAATAACAACAGGCTTGTTGAGCCCGTATCTAGCCTTTGGATCTTCCACTGATACACCGAATGAGATATTAGAAGCTTGTGTTGTTGTCGGGATCCCGAGTCTTTCCCTTCTTTGCTTCTTTATCTGCTGCTGCTGCTGCTGTTGCTGCAATTCCTCCTGACCCGCTATAAAACTCCCCACCATTACCTGAACAATACATACCGATTCCAAAACAACAATGCTTAAAACGATAAAAAAACTCGAGTCCGTTAAAGAGATCAACACCTCATGGTCTAAGTAATTACCTGAACAGGACCAGCAGCTATAAAGAGACCGGCAAGTCCACCACCAAAGACACGACCATCTGGTCCTGCAAGAGACACACTCATCCCGCCAGCTCTGCTTCGGGTTCCTCCACTCTCGCTTGGTATAAACGAACCCGTCAAAGAAAGAATCTCAAAATGACCCTGACCACAGATTGTAAACTAAATGTATTAGTAAAAAAAAGAGATTAGAAGGAATCTATGAGAGAAGTGAAGAGAGAGAACGAACCTCATAAGTGAGAGTACCACCAGATGTCATAGATTGACGAAGTGTAACATTGGAAATGGGACCGTTAGCTGAAAGAATGCAAATAGCACGCGAGCCTTGTTGAGAGAATGTCATTATCTTCATTGTCACATCCTGTTAGATTCAGTGGGCCAAAAATAGTTAGAAATCTCGGGGACTTAGTCAAGATTAATAACCTTGGTGAATTATTCACCAGTAAATCACAAGTAAATAGTTAGAAATCTCGGGGACTTAGCCAAATTATTCAGTAAATCACAAGTAAAGAGAATTATCGAAGACATACCTCACCGGCGTTTACTGTGAGCAC